AGGGAGCAAGAGGATGTGAGAGGAGCAGCCCTGCAGGCACCCAGGTCGGTGCAGCAGGAGGGGCAGGAGGAGCTCCACGCACCAGAGCAGAGATTCCCCACAGCCCCGGGTACAGCCCATGGTGGGGCAGGCTGTCCCCCCTGCAGCCCAGGGAGGCCCACAGGGGAGCAGATCCCCACCTGCAGCCCAGGCAGGACCCCACACCAGAGCAGGGGGGTGCCCGAAGGAGGCTGTGACCCCGGGGGAAGCCCAGGCTGGAGCAGGCTTCTGGCAGGGCCTGTGGTCCCATGGGGAGAGGAGCCCAGGCTGGGGCAGGTTTGCTGGCCGGGCTGGTGACCCCGCGGGGACCCACGCTGGTGCAGTCTGTGCCTGAGGGACTGTGCCCCGTGGGAAGGAGGGACCCACGTTGGAGCAGTCCATGGAGAACTGTCTGCCACGGGAGGGACCCCAGGCTGGGGCAGGGGCAGAGTGTGAGGAGCCCTCCCCTGAGGAGGCAGGAGCAGCAGGGACAGCGTGTGATGGACTGACCCCATTCCCCATTCCCCGTCCCTCTGTGCCACTCGAGGGAAGGAGGTAGAGCAATTGGGAGTGAGGTTGAGCCTAGGAAGAAGGGAGTGGTGGGGGGAAGTGTTTTAAGATTTAGTTTTTATTTCTCATTAGCCTACTCTGATTTGATTGGCAGTAAATTAAACTAATTTCCCTGAGTCAAGTCTGGTTTGCCCATGATGGTAACTGGTGAGTGATCTCTCCCTGTCCTTCTCCTGAGCCAGGAGCCTTTCATTACATTTCCTCGCCCTGTCCAGCTGAGGGGGCAGTGATAGAGGGGCTTGGTGGGCACCTGGTGTCCAGCCAGGGTCAACCCACCACGCACAGGCATGTGATGCTGCTTTTATGTGAGGAAGGGAGAGAAAAACAACTGAGGAAAAATCAGAAAAAAACCTCCCAGCCTTCTTTCATAGACATGTGCTTAATTTCTCATGAGTAATATTAAGGATATCATCACTACTGTTACTGTGTATAGACGTCTTTATATGTTAAAGCATAAACTTCTAGCTCACCACACAGCTGATCAGAAGATGTCCAATCTTTGTAATTCAGAGTGAAATACAGAGAACTTTTTCTTCATGTATTTTTTTTTTTGTTCCAAATGTGGTAAGCATATGGGCATTGTTAATAAAATAGAAACAAATTCCATGCATCTATTAGATCCAGTCATGAACCTAGCCTGTTTTCCCCATGGAAACATCCGTTAACACGAGGCTTTCACATGTAAGGTCTATTTTTAAATAAAGGGATTCTTCTGCCCACCTCATGGGATATGTTTTGTTGGAGGTGGATTTTACATCCGACTTTATATGATAATTGGTAGAAATTCTGAAGAGCACGCCATCAAAACTAAGGAGATGGATATGAGTACATATTTATGAATCAGTATCTTACTTCAGCTGCTAGAGAAATAATTTTTAAAACCTCCTGGCCACTGCACCATTGGGTGGAAAATATTTTCTGTTTTATTGATCTCTCTCTCTCTCATCAACAGCTTCACAATGTTAACCTTGCATTGGACTTGCTGACAGAGGAAGGACTTCTGAATTTTTCTGTGAACTCTGAAGGTGAGTCATGCATGTAGACTTGTCTGGAATAGAATTGCTAATATCCTGGCTTAGCAAAAGTTAGGGTAATTGAAGAAAGTAAGTTCTGCAGTGTGACACTGACACATTTCATTATATGGCTCCCCCATAGCTCCTCATTCAGAATGAATAATAATAAAGCTGAGAACTGTTTTGAACAATCTTTATTTCTCAACTAAAAATGTTGGATTGTTATAAGTTTAGTAACTTTACACTAAACTTAAACTGTTTAATAAGTCAGTATTTGTTAAAGATTTAAACCAGTGGCAGCTCCTAGGGAAATTACAGCAGCTGAGCTAGAGGGAAGGTTATTTTCCTATCTATCTCATAAAAAGTTTTAGTGCATTAAAACCAAGCTTGTTTCATGTGGGAGGACACCTTGCAGAATATGTCCTGAAAATCAGAAACATTGACCACTATTCAAACCCAGAAGAGCTGGTGGGTCAGTCTCCTGAAAGTGAAGTTCATAAGTTTTAAGTTTCTATTCTGCCTAATTCAGACCTGGGAGCTGAATCTTGATCTCCTACAACCTCTCTTTTGCCCCATCACACCAAAAAAAAAAAAAAAAAAAAAAAAGGTTTTCTTTGGATGAGTTAAATTTTCCATTTAAAAAAATTCCCCACAGAAAAAACTTTGGCCAGCTCCTGGTGGGACAAAGGATGTGGCTACATTAATGGATGGTGCTGTGACTGCTTAGTCTGACCTCTTGCAGGGCATGTAACCTCACCCCATCATTTCTCCATCAAGCTCAAGAGCTTGTTGTGAAATAGAGAAATAAAATCTTTATTAAAATTAGAAAGCATTCTCTCTTCCCCTGTTAGTTATTCAGAAGCAACTGGGCAGATGTGTTTAGTATGTAACCCATGGCATCATGGAGAGGGAAGGATAGAATTTAGGACTTTGTTTTTTCTTTTGGTTTCTTTTTCCACTAATGCTTTGGTGATATTGGTAGTTTGCAGGATGGGCATGCACCAGTTGTGGGCTTTTTGCCATATTGCATAGAGCTAGGACTTCAGAAAGCTATTTATGTTAACTTTGAAAAGCGTAATCTGTGTGAGCTCAGGTGTCCGTGCTGAGATCCACCTTTTGTATGAAAGGAGTTAGACCCTTGCTTTCTTTCCTTCCCTCTGGCTATTCTGCACTGCCTCAAATACAGAGTTGATCAGAATAAGAAATACTGGATCCAACATCTGCAGGTCCTTTAGCTTCACTGGGAAAATCCTCAGCTAGTGATTGAATTTAATATCATTTAGGGGTACTTATTACAGCTACACTATTTAGACTGTTCAAGGATCTCATTTACTAGTGTTTCATTATTCGTCTTTCTCCGGGTGATTTACAGCAGTGTAAGAAGAACGGTAAACCCTCTAAATCAGTTAGCCTCTTCCATTGCAATTACTAAGTACAAGATTGGTTTGCTTAGCCAAGAACATGGAAGCTGAAAACTAAATGAAAAAAAGAAAACAGCCAACGGCAGCAAAACATGATGGAAACATTACAACCAAAAAATAAAGTGTCAGGTAATTCCCAACATAGTTCCTGCCATAGAAGAATCATAAAAAACTAAAGATGTAAAGTCCTATTAAATTCTCTATGTTCTCTGCTAGTGAAGAATTATTTCTTACTATGCATTATTTATCCTGTCTTCCAGCAAGATAGTGCAGTGAAGGTCCCTTTTCCTTAAGTTCATTTAATATATAAATAATTTGCTAGCCCTGTAGTTCCTGTGTCACTTCTTGTTACAATTAGGTTGTCCAAGTTCATGTTATAATTGGGGAAAGGTGGAAGATTGTCTTTGGCAGTTGCTGTCTCTTTCTCTTCCAGGGCTTGCTAATACTTCCCTTCTGGTTTTGTTGTTTCTTTTGTATCCACAGATGTTGTGAACGGAGATATAAAGACTACAATGCGGATTCTGTATTGCTTGTATTCCAAATACAAGACCAAAGAAACATGAAGAGCAAGGCTAAGAGTTTGGCCCTTTTTCTTTTCTTTCTTTTTTTTTTTTTTTTTCTTTTCCCTAGCATGTCATTGTCTGATTTTTGGATTCCCAGCTCTGTTTGCCACTGTTTATGAGCATGCACTTGTGTTTGACACTTGCTGTACTAACATTGTATATGCAAGTATGTATTCGTGCAAGGTTTCACATATAGTGCCTGTGTGTGTCCAGGGCCAGCGTACTGTAACTCTGTGGCTGGTGCTCCTGCTCCAGCCCTGTCTCTTGTTCTTTCTGAGCCCCCCTAATGCTACAAAGAAGTGTGATGTGTGTTTATTCTGGACAGCCGATTCTTTACTTCTTGAGATGAATTTGGAAGCTCTTATTGTAACCTCCCCTCTTCCCTGCTTCTGATTCACTTTGGAAACTAGAGAGGTGAAAGACCCACCACGGCATCTCTGGGAAGATTGCAGACACGCTGGAAGCTCACATTTGAAACCTTCTTTACGCAGGTGGCCAGCTGTTGTCACACAAGAGGATGTGGATTGGGCACCAAATGAATAGGTAGCTGAACTGAAATCTGAACTTATCAAGTGTTTGATAAAAGTTTCACCATTTGCCTGCTTGAATATGCAAAAGGGACCCAAAATAACACAGTGTGAGACTGTGCAGTAACAGAGGGGTCTCCTGTGAAGCTGTGGAGAGCTGCCCTTATTTCCTTGCTAAGCTGATGCCAGACTGTGGCCAGCTCCAGCCTGTTGCAGCCCAAACATAATGTCTGACTAGCAGGAAAGCCGATTCCTGCGTCAAGCAGGTTATAGGAGTGACTAAAGTGACCGTGCTTTCTTTCTGGTAAGAGGCGGATAGATGCTGGCGTCCTCTGCAGACGGTAGAAGTAGAGGCCATCATGGACGGGAGTAGTGAAACCCCCAGCTTCTGCCACTTCTGACAGTATATATGTGTGCTGCGGGGACTCTCAAACCCCGCAGAGACTCTCTTAGCTGAATTTGTCCAGTGACCCTCCGCAGGCATCCCAGCAGCCCCGCTTGGATGCAATGAGGCTAGCTGCAGTTTATGTTAGCTGTCACCCTTAGTCTTTCTTGGGGGTCTTAGAACTCCTTCAGAACCTCCATCCGCTCCCTTGACCTTAAGATTATGTCAGGTTTATGTTGCACAAAGCTGGAGATCTAATTAAAAAGAAAAAAAAAAAAAGATGTTTTGATATTATTTTGACTTCCATCTAAACGGCTTTAATTTCCTGTCGTCAGTGACTCTGACATCTGATCTCTGATCTGATCCTCCATCTGTGTGTTAATGGGAAACCAAAGCTCGCTTAGTGCGAGTGCTGACATTTATGAGCTGATGAGAATTTGTTGTGTCTAGTTCTGGATCACACAGCCTAAGAAAGATCCTTAGATAGCAATGCTGGTAAGACTTAGAGTCCTGCCTTTGAAAATGGTAATACTGCACAGCTGCTGGAGGAAAGAGTTCTGCAAACTGCCCTGAGCCTAAGCCTTTTTGCTCCAAGAAGTACCTTGTTATGTTTTTACAGAAGAAAAATCCAATGTGTGGTGCCAATGAGCTACAAGAAGATCAACTTGCTTCCCTAGCAAATTAGTTGTGTGTGCTGTTTTGAATTATTTCAGTCAAAAGTACTTTTTTTTTTTTTCATGTGAAACTCTCCATAGGTATCTTGGTTTATTCCTTAATGGGCTTCAAGCAATCAAGTGGGAGACCTCAGAAGCTTGTTCTTGCTTCACAGATCCCTGCTGCCGTCGCTGTAACATGGCAAGCGGATTGTAGAATAAATCATTATTGAGCAGATAAAACCAGCATGTGGCTTGTGGAGAGCAGGAGTGAGGGGGCAGGAGGGCATTTGGTGGTGATATGGTGGCAGCGTGGCCTTTTCTGCCAAGGAAGCCAACCTGAATCTCTTCCCTGGTGCTGGCGACCAGAAGTCATTCCCAGTGTGTGGCTTCAGGCATAACCTAGAGGCTTTGAAAAAGTTGGTGGTGGGGGAATAGCTGGTGCTGCCCTGGTCAGATAGTTGTCACTGCTCAAGGAAACAGTTGTGTTTTTCTCCGAGTGTTTTGAGTTTTGTGGTCCACTCCTCCAGCATAAGTAAATCCAGTGCTTGCACTTCTTCAGACTCCTGGCAAGGGAAGTAGAGTTCTTGGTATTTAATAAAGGAAAGGATCATATTCCCTTCCCAACACCAGCTTGCCTCAACCTGTTATGAACAAGTCATTCTTTTGAAAACATACAGGGAAAAAAATGACAGCTAATGTGCTTGAATCAAAAATATAGCGAGACCAAAAATGAATGTTTTAATCTGTTTTTTATGCTGCGAGCCAGTTTATAACACGCTTGATGTCTCTGAACACTTTGATAAAGAGCCTGTGTTTGACTCCTAAAACACGCTACAGAATTTTACTAATCCATCATAGAGGCACCCACTCCATAAATTGGTGTGGAATATACAAGTGCACTATTTACATTTGAGATGTAGTCACAGACTTGGCATAGTTTTAATAGTAGCTATAAAGTAAGAGAGCTAAAAAGATTATTGCGACAGTATGCAAGTGGAGAAAAAAGAAATATACGGTATTGTTCTCAGATGTTACTTTCGCCTTACGTTGAGATAACCTGTTTCCCTTTTCTCTTATTAATATAAGTTAATGAAAACCAAAGCCGCTTACTGTTTAAGCTGGCAAATTAACTGATATTTGAACAAACTAAGCTCTCTCTATGCGAGCCTGCTCATTGACACATAATTAAATTTACAATTTTCATGTTTGAATCCTAGATAGTCAGCTGTTTGTGATGGAAAAGCGTGGTGGACTATGAAGGTGTGGGATTTTTTATCGTGCTGTATGGCTAGGGTACACAAGCTTAACTGCGATGACTATTCAGTTTTCCAATAGAGTCACTGACTGACTGTGTCTTACTCTGTTTCCAAGGAAGAACATGCAGGCTCTTTATCTTTTAAATAACCAGTAAATGGCCCAAAATTTTCTAAGCCAGAGAAGAACCCTACCGGAGCTTCTGCTGTTATCCTCGTCTCAAAGATAAGCAGCGCGGTGGCTTTGCGGCAAGGCAACAGCCAGGACGTGCAACAGATTTGAAGTGCTGCTAACTCCTGCTTGCTGTCATCTTTCTGTTGTCCTGTCTTTCCAAAATACACAGCCTCATAACTGTAAAGATGTCTTTCCAGAGGCGGAGCAGCAAGGGTCTGTGGAGGGAAGTGCAGGTGGAAGGGGCAGAGTTACCACCGTGACTTTAAGGGAGGCAGCGGATGCACAGAAGTTTTTGTTAATGGGATCAAGGGGCCGAGACAGGTACTGGCCGTAGAGCCTGGGAGAGCAAACTCCCTAAATCTGTCCCTGCTGTCGAAACCCCTTCTCCTCCTTGGGAGGAGGATTGCATTGCCATTTTTTCATGCCCTCATTGGGCTGCAGCCCTGTAACTGGGACCTTGCTGGTGTGCCTCTCTGGGAACTGGCCAGTTAAACTCCAGAGGGAAAATGCTGGTGGCCCCCAAATGCGCTTGATGGATGGGAGCAGTACCTGTACTCCTTTGAGGTGGAGCCTGTTCTTAGTGCCTATCCTTTTCTTTTTTTCTTCTTTTCTCCCTTCTTCTTTTCCTATGGTTTCTACTGTGTTGCTTCTTGCTGGGAGACTTCCCCGCAGCTGCTTCCAGAAGTCTCTTTGGCAATTAGGCTTTCAAACCATGAAAGCAGCTAATTCAAATTCTTCCTCTCCATGAGCTCGAAGGGCCTGTGTGTGTTTGTGTCTGTGTGAAGGGATCTTGCTGTTCTTTCTCTTTCAGGTTTCTAAAATTTCCCCAAAGAATGAAAGCCATTGTCAGTTTTTAGAGAAGCGATTTTTTTTTTCCTAGTCGATTAGTATTGTAATGAAGAATAGATGAAAGCGTTATTTTGGAGGAAACAAAATATTGTATATGAGCCCTTCCACTTGCTGCCAGGATGGATAGGTTTGCTGTGCTGCTCAAAATTTTCTAGGGTGGTGACAAGGTGAGCAGAACACAGAGTAACATATGGAGAGGTGAGTTTTGAGACTAGCAATAATGAAATCAAGAGGGCAGTACTGTAGGCTGGAACGTCCCTGTCCTCCCTGTCCTCTCCATCAGCCAGCTGTGCTTTCTGGAATATTAAAATGAAAAACCCCACAACAAACCACCTCTATTTCTTTGTCATTTTGATTTAAACAAAGTGCATCAGGGCACCTTTGCCACTGACTTTTCCCCTTAGCGCCTCCAGATTTCTAAGCCTTGCCCCCCACCCCGTGTTGTTCCATTACAACTGGAGTCCCCTAAGCCATTCTGCTCCAACCACTGGCTAGAATTAAAGTTTTTAAAGACTTTATCCACTCATGTCCTTTCTCAGGCTGTGCTTAGCAAATTTTACACACCCTGGCATGAAGCCAATAAAACAATATGAAATAACAGATAAATGTTAGAGAAGAAAGGAGAAGCTTGGTCAAAAACTGATTCATTTTATCTGTAGAACAGTGGCTGGCTGCTTGGATGAGAACTGTCTAAATTTAGGTCCTAAAACCTTGCTGTCATGAAATGCTGGGGAATTGCAGTTCGGGTACTTCATGCTGTCCCCTTCTCCTGTGTTCCAGGTGACCACCAGGCTTCATCTCCTGCAGAGACCTGCAGTCTGTGCTGGGCTCTTCCTTACGCTGTAGAGAGCCTGTGCTCCACGTCAGTTTGGGTGGTTTAGTTTCTTTTGGGAAATGGAGCCTGACTGCAGAGTTGTGCCCATGATAGTAAATGGAAAGTTGAAATGGTGTAATGCAAATTTGTTCTTTTTTCCATATTTTTTCATCTTTTCCCCACTTGGCTGCCCCTCCTTTAATGAAAAATGTCAACCATCATATTCAATCATCACTTTCATACCAGGGCAGTCTGTGTCCCAGGATCCTAAACTGCAGAGCGTACTTGCAAGGAAAGGCCCAGGGAGGTGATGGGAGCTGGTTTGTCCCTGGGCTTGGATGTCTTTCAGGACCACCAGTTGCATAATCTGGTTGCCAGCCCCAGGTCAGAGTACGTAATAAATATTTTAAAGTCTGTAAGCACTGCACTAGTCAGGTTTTTAGGCACCAAAAGGCAGAAAAAATAAAATGTGTAGGGTAAAAAAAGCTACAAGTTTCAAAGTAGTTATTGTTATGGATGTTTTACTAGAAATACTATTGCAAGCATAAGATAGATATGACCCAAAACGCATCTAAAGAATGCAATTTTGTTATGAAATAGAAAAGAATTTAGATAGTTTGGACAACATTAAGTTATTATATGTTCATAGTAATATAAAGAAGTCTTAGCTGAATCAGGTCTATGTATTTTGTCAGGTTATTCTACAGGCACACTAAGTAAATTATGCAAAAAATGAATCAACCTCAATTTACAGCCTCCTTCTAGTGTCTGGCTTTTCTATGTATTCTTCCCCCTGCTTATTTCAGTACGTTGGCATTCTGACTCCTTGCCCCCCTCTCCCCTCCCCTGCAATTTTGCCCCCTCCCCTGTGCCCGCCTCATGCCTCTGGCCCAGCTGTCCAACAGCCGCCTTTCTGCAGCGCTTGCTCCTTCCCCTCTCCATGCTCAGATCTGCCGGGGTGTTACTGGGAAGGTATCTTCTAGAGAAGTCATATTTGCAATGCAAAAAAGCTGTGAAAAAAATCTGGAAACACCAGCTGGCTGCTGTGTATAAGAATTTAAAATGTTTCTCAGTGGTATGCAAGAAGAGTTCCTTTGTCCTTCCTCCAACATAAAAAAAAATAAAATCAAAGGTAGAATTTTGCTCTCTGTGCACTCTACAGGCTTTATGCACATAATTCTGTATAAGAAATCTTGTCTTGATGATGGCCTTCATAAACAGCAAACATTGACAGAAGGCTGGTCATTTCCTAAGGCAAAGTTTGGAGGCTGGTTTGGGGAGAATTACAGCACAAGAGGAATAGAGCTCTTGCACCAAGACTCATCTAAATTAGTGTATCTTAGGGAAGAGAAATTTAATCATCTAATTTCTATATGCAAATACCTGTAAAGCTTCCATCCTAATAGCGTTACAGAACTTGAAGGGCCACAGTCTTGATCTCAGTGCTTTCTTAGTCCTTAAAGTTACTCATGAGATCACCAGCAAGATATTTGGAAAGACTTTTGGTTCTCCTGATGGTGTAGAGTCTGTCTGGAAGGGCAACAAAGTCTATAAGGAAAGGGATTCTCTAGGATCTTGGACACGAAGCCGAAAGGGCTAGAGCTGTTGATAGAATTTCTTATAGGGGATCCCCACTGTAGAAATGTTGACTCTGGCTCACTGCTAAGTTTAGAAACCATGTAAAACACGTACCATGCACTTTGTACAGAGCAGATGGTACAACAGGCTTTACTGGTTGCCGTGTGTCAAATAACAGATTGCCTAGAAAAGTTTGCTTGCTTTTGGCAGACGATTTAATTCAGCTCATAGTATGTTACTGAAGTTCACTGTGCATCTCTGCAAAAGTAGGCAGCTAACACATTTTATGTCATCTGCTATACCAAAAGTTTCTTAAATAATAAAAAAAAAATGTTAGAAGTTGTGTCCCTACTTGTTCTCTTGAGCGGAGGTGGGGAAAGAAGTCTCGAGTGTGTGAGTAGAAGCAGCAATCTGAAATCCATGAAATTGATTCATGTTCCAAAGCCACAATCTCCTTCCAGTTGGAACGACGTTATATTTTTATTCCCTTTTTATATATTTTTTTAAATAATTCTTCTCTTTATTTTGGAATGGGAGAAACACAAAAATCTCAGAAGTTATTGCAAAAATATATGGTTTCTACAAACTTTTAACTTCTACACAGAATAGTCCATTAGAGTCAGTACCAGTTATGATCAGACAGATTCAGTAAACCAAAGCATTGCTTAATCTTAATGATAAGAATGAGCAAACACAAACACAAATGTTAAACTAATAATAAGGAAATCTGTGTACAGCTTGGTCATATTGAGCACGATCATATTGTAAAGGGATCCTAGGAAGGGACTGTCTTCATGTCTGTCTCTCTGTGTCATTGCATGGTTTTCTCATCTCTGAAACAGTTTCTTGAAAACACCATGGTGTAATCAGGCTGGCTGTCACCTGGACCGGTCTGGTGTGCTCAACCAGCAGTTCGAGGCTTTACATCAAAGTGCCTTACTTTTGCAATGCTCTTCCAGTTTTGTTGGTTGGGTGATAATCCGAGACTACTGTCAAGTTACCCGCTTGCTCTTAGGTTGAGCATCCAAAGACCAAGTGAGAGCATAGTGTTTACGGCTGATATCCGAGGAGCTTGAAGTCCTGCAGACTGTGGTTGTATATGACTCCAAGTGGTGGTCATGCCTTTAAAATAAACTTTTTCTTTAAAAAGTATCGTATCTGTAGCTGTGAATCACTATGCATGTTTCACATTTCATTCCCTTGTTGCACATCCTGCATGTGAAACCCGTTTACCAAAGTGTGTCTTCTGTGAACCCATCTGTGCCAGACTCAGAGGACAGGAGTCAGTAATATTACTGAGTTCTTCAGCGTGAGCCCTAAAAACTTGTATTTTTTTTTTCTGCAGTCCACTAGTCCGGTGACTACCTTGGCCAAAGTGGCAGGCAGCACTGTGTCAGATGCTGTCACTTGTCTGTAGGTGCCAGGTAAAACTTGTGTTGGCAAGGACAAGGGTGGGAGAAGAAGGAGGTGCGCTGGCATCCTCACTGAACACAAATCCCACCGGTCTCCGAGTTTTTCAAGACACAGACAGCAGCAGGTTCCCTCCTTACAAATCCGGCCTGCTGCCAGACGATGCTGTTGCCAGCTGGCATAGTTTTATTATGCCTTTGTTATTAATCACTATTTGCCAGTTTCCTCTTGCTCAGCCTGACTGCCATTTCTCATCATCATCAGTGGAGCTGCCAGTGCCCCCCGTGGGGCATGGGGACTACTGATTTATGTACCTCTTTGCCACAGTCATTGCCATCTCTTAGGGTTTCCAGGGAGAGTGAAAACTGCCCGGAGGCTACAGCTCTGTGCGTGAGGGTTAGTGATCAGCGTCTCTGCGGGGATGTGACCTGTAAGGACCATCAAAGACGCCCTGACAGACGTGAGTTGTGCCAGGGCAATGAGGGAAGAGGACTTAAGGGCTGCAAGACATTGTAGGGGTTGAATGTATTACCTGGAGGAGGAGAATAAGGGGGCACAGGTAGCCTGGAGGAGGAAGAGGCTTGGCTGGGACTGAAGGGGGAAGCTGGAAGGTGCACAGGGAAGATCTGTATTTTCTCAGCAGTGTCACAGTTCTTCATGTCTTACCTTCGCTTCAAAGGTGACTGCAGGAGGACATTGTAGTACAGGCAAGGAACCTGCCCAACCCTTGACCCAGCAGAAGCAAGCTGGGTGCTTGGGAACCTTCAAGTCTGGGTCCCTTAAACTGGTTTAGTGACCAGCAGGCAACTGGCAATTTATGCCAGCTACTAAGATCCTAATCTTGTACTGCTTTTGCTTGAGAGCCCGAGAAAGGTGGTTTCAGACCTGAGTCTTTGCCGAGATCCTACCATATATGAGCTGGCACTTACATAATGTCCACACGACAACATCTTTCGGGGAAATGATGGTGAGCAACCAGTACTTCCAAAGACATTTTTTAATGGATTGACAATCAAGCATGTCAAAATTCATCAGCAAATAACCTTAGTGAGCATACTGGAAAATTATCTATTCTCTCTGCCTTGCTCCCTGTGAGTTTATTCCTACAGAACATGGGTATGAAGTGCTGCCAGCATGTAATGATGGTACTACACAGGCAGCTTTGCACAGGACTAACTGACCACACGGTATTGAGGGCAGGAGAGAAGGTCTCTCAGAGGCTGCGACCATGGGTGAGAAGAGGTGGAGCAGGTGCTGGAGTAGGCAATGCCTTCCCTCCTCCAGCTCTGCCCAGAGGAAGCATTGACACTGTCCAAAATTTATACTTTCTGGGTCCCGTGGATGGTTTTTTTCAAGACGCCCACCGTTGACTTAACTGTGAATTCAGTGGGAGTTAAGCCAAATTTTAGAGCGTTTCGGAAAATCCTTTTCAAAATATGTAGTCTGCCGTTTGTGGGGATGTTGCCTGGACGCCTTCCAGAGCAGCTCCCAGGCCTAGCAAGATCGCCGCCATGTGCTCGTGAGAGCAACAGACTCCACCCAGGAGACTCAAATGGAAGCAAGGGTGGGATGAGTGTGGGCACCTGGGTGCTGACCTGCTACGGGGAGGGTTACGGACATGCGTGTTGGAGGTGATCCCACCTGCGGCTCACAACTTTCCCCTGGAACACAATCTGTTATAAACTTAGTGCCGCTAGAAAATCCGTTTGTTGCTGGCTTGGAGCCAGTCCAATCAAGAAACCCTCATTTGCAATCCTAGTAACAGCATGAAATGTTCACTTCAATTTTGCTCATAAGCTATTTTTGATTAACTGCAGACATTTGTGCTGACTTTTCAGCGGCGGCCTCTTCACATACTTAGCCATATTTGCATGTAGCAAAGGGTATTTGGGCATGAACAAGGATATTTCTTTATTACTTTCTGATATCTCGGATTTCCTCTCATCCAAGCGCAGAAGCAAATCCAGTATTAGTGGTTCAAGAATTAATTGTCTATCAGGGAGCTGAAGCAAACAGTTTATGGAAATCCTGCTTGCATTATCTTTGGAGAAATGACTGTGGACAACCAAGCACTTCCCAAGGAAGGGGAGTGGTTTTAACTGATTGATAATCAAACATGGCAAAATCCATCAGCAAATAGGCTGACTTAGTGTACTGGAAAATCAGCTAATAGCTGGCAGTATGCTCCTCTCTGAAATTATTCT